CAGGCTTGTTTGCATTTGTGTTCCTCACGTGTGCCCCAAAGAATGAGGTGATTTGATAAAATGCTATGCCCAAGATTACCATCCGAGTGCCGGCGGGGAAGTGGTTCATATAGCCTCGGCTATCACTTCCTTATGTCCGGTCGTGATGGTCAAGCGGATTAAGGCGTCCCTGTACATACCAGTTGTGGGAGTATGGGTTCGAGTCACTTCTGGGGTGTGAGTTTTCAGTTGTATATAGTCCTGGGGACCATTCAGGCTTGTTTGCATTTGTGTTCCTCACGTGTGCCCCAAAGAATGAGGTGATTTGATAAAATGCTATGCCCAAGATTACCATCCGAGTGCCGGCGGGGAAGTGGTTCATATAGCCTCGGCTATCACTTCCTTATGTCCGGTCGTGATGGTCAAGCGGATTAAGGCGTCCCTGTACATACCAGTTGTGGGAGTATGGGTTCGAGTCACTTCTGGGGTGTGAGTTTTCAGTTATATATATATATATATATATATATATATATATATATATATATATATATATATATATATATTTATATGTCGTACCTAGTAGCCAGAACGCACTTCTCAGCCTACTATGCAAGGCCCGATTTGCCTAATAAGCCAAGTTTTCCTGAATTAATATATTTTCTCAATTTTTTTCTTATGAAATGATAAAGCTACCCATTTTATGATGTATGATGTCAATTTTTTTTTATTGGAGTTAAAATTAACGTAGATATATGACCGAACATAACCAACCCTACATAACCTAACCTAACCTATCTTTATAGGTTAGGTTAGGTAGCCGAAAAGGTTAGGTTAGGTCAGGTTAGGTAGGTTAGGTAGTCGAAAAAACATTAATTCATGAAAACTTGGCTTATTAGGCAAATCGGGCCTAGAATAGTAGGCTGAGAAGTGCGTTCTGGCTACTAGGTACGACATATATACATATATATATATATATATATATATATATATATATATATATATATATATATATATATATATATATATATATATATGTATATATATATATATATATATATATATATAAATATATATATATTATATATATATATATATATATATATATATATATATATATAATACATTAGTATGAATCCATCAGTCTCAGTTGATTATATAGTTACGCTTTGGTTGTCGGTTTGGAGCGACTTGTACAGTGCACATAGCCAGGGTAGGTTGATATGGGGGAGAAGCTGTCACCCATGCACCAGGTTCCCCCTCTCCACGGCGCCAAAAGTCTCCAATAGAAAGGCTAACGCCAATACGACTGGTTCCAGTGCCGTCGCAAGAACTGTCAGAACGAGGTTGAAGGTAACATCGAACTGCCCTAGTGGCTCCAGCTCCGGAGGTTACCTCGAAGTCGGTAAAAGAGAGCACAGGGACTCCAACCCGGAGATCACCATGCTCGGGACCGGAGAAGACCCACCCCAGCAAGGGCAAGCCGACCCCAGCCTCCTAAATCAGAGCCTATGCCGAACGAGCCCTGCAAGGATGGCTTCCGTGCACTGCACCTACGGTTCTAGACAGAGATCGCCATTGCCGCCCTTTTACCGGAGGCCGGCTTCCTTCAAGACCAAGCAGAAGGAAGAGTAATAATTAATAATTACATTACAACAATTATTATTATAATTATTATAACAAAAATATGAAATTAATATTTATTACTTTATATATATATATATTTATATATATATATATATATATATATATATATATATATATATATATATATATATATATATATATATATATCCAGAGAGGAAATGCTCACTGCATCCATGGTTCCTGCCCGCCATCTGAGGAGCTGGTGGAGCTATTCAACTTGTGACAAGCAGCCTTGTACCCTGTATGTAATCAATATTGTAACTTTTTTTG